CCCATTGCCGGCAATGGGGAAAAAGTCGCGATATGTCGCATGATGTTGCATGACGTTGCGAGTTTGACATGCCTGCTCTAAAGTGAATTTGGTTTTCCCATTGCTTGTCAGAAGTTCACAAAAGGTGATCACATGACCCTGGGACACTGCAATATGAGCCAATTGCCAAGTGTCCAAATTCTGATCTTGTGACCACGAAGATGCTACAAGAGCTGTAAGTGTGAAAAATGCTCATACGTCACTTTTATCAGTCCTTTGTAACTTCAAATGGTCACTAAATGAATGGTTATAGTTCGAGGATTACCTATATTCTGTGAAATATACTATTTCAGAAATAAATCCCATAATTCTTTTTTAAGGAGAATTTCTACTGAAAGAGATTAAGTTTGGGTTTCTCATATTACTTTTGGGAAGCAGGAGTTGTTTTTCTAGGAAGAAATGTTGAGACTGGTTCTGTTGTTGAATAATGTCGACTTTACGGCTCTGCTCCTGCTGTCACTGCCTCCATTTCCCAAATCCCACATTTGGGAATATGACTATGGTAGCGCAAGAGAAATATTTTCATTATTTATATGAACAGGATGTGGCAACACTTGACCTCTAAATAATGGAATAGGTGAGTGATTATGATGTCAGAATCAGTGAATATTATAATGTAATCCTTCAAATGGTTCTGTACCTGAGTTTTATTCAGAGATGTGCCTTAAATTAGATATTATATATCTTCAAAAATATCTTTCTCAGCATGCTTGTTGACTCCTGCTGGGATGATGTAAAGATTCTTCCACATATTTAATGTAGTGTTTCCAAGTGTAGTTTTAGAAGTTGGTAAAATTTGTGCATTGTTATCTGTCAAGATACCCCCTAAATCAGTTTTCAGTGGTTGACCACATCGGCTTATCTTTATGCTTGTCCTTGCATAAGAAACTTACAGCTTTCTTAAAGGCATTGTATAGGGATTTTTTAAAAGTCTGATTTAATATAAAACAAATATTATTATATTATATTATATTATATTATATTATATTATATTATATTATATTATTTTAACACAAGCTACCAACTCTTCAGTATCTGATTTGCAATGGATAATAGCTAACTTGACAAAAGAATAAATAATTTCCTAAGCAAAATGGAGCAGTTTGTGGCATAATTAGACCCAGAGCTATTTAACAGCATAATACTCATGATATTAATACTTTCTTGTTATGCTGTATTTTTAAGGTAAGAGATTGGATTTTTATATAATGAATGACCACATGGAAGCATCGAAAGGTCAGATAATATGGCTTCCTTAAGGGCATTTTCTCCTGTTGCCGGGTTGATTGAATGTGTAGGCTTTACTTATACACAAGTTCCTGTGTATATTTTCATGCAGTTTTTAAAGACAAGAATCAGTGAGTGCCATGCTCATTGATACACAAATAATGGATATCTCTGATTAATCAGGAAAATTAGTTAGGGTCCATTTCACTCATGTCTTTGAAGGTATTCCAGTAAACTAACAGCTTTTAGTATTTATCTAAGAAAAGATAACTCCACAAGGCATTCAGAGTTACAAAGTAAATGACTGTTTAACCTACAATGTAAAATTCATGAATAAGACAGGATTGTTTCATTATACAGATTCAAATATTAAAATAATATACATAATAAATTGTCTATGGTCATGATTTTTGATATTCCCTATGTATGCCAAATCCAGTCTGAACATCTAGCTGACTATGCGATGATCAATAATAATAATAATAATGGTGGTGGTTATGATGATGATGATGTTGGAAGGGACACCTTGGGGGTCATCTAGTTCAACCCTCTGCTCAGGCAGGAAACCCTATACCATTTCAGACAAATGGTTGTCCAGTTTCTTCTTAAAAACTTCCAATGTTGGAGCATTCACAGCTTCTGGAGGCAGGTTGTTCCACTGATTAATTGTTCTAATTGTCAGGAAATTTCTCCTTAGTTCTATATTGCTTTTCTCTTTAGTTAGTTTCCACCCGTTACTTTGTGTCCTGCCTTCAGGTGCTTTGGAGAATAGCTTGACTCCCTCTTCTTTGTGGCAACCCCTGAGATATTGGAACACTGCTATCATGTCACCCCTAGTGCTTCTCTTCATTAAACTAGACATACCCAATTCCAGCAACCATTCTTTATATGTTTTACCCTCCATCTTTGTTCCTTTTTGTTGTTCTTCTCTGTACTCTTTCTAGAGTCTCAACATCTTTTTTACATTGTGGTGACCAAAACTGGATGCAGTATTCCAAGTGTGGCCTTACTGAGGCATTGTAAAGTGGTATTAACACTTCATGTGATCATGAGTCTATTCCTCTGTTAATGCAGCCTAGTATTGTGTTGGCTTTTTGGGCAGCTGCAGCACACTGCTGGCTCATATTTAAGCGATTGTCCACTAGGACTCCAAGATCCCTCTCACAGTTACTACTATTGAGCCAGGTACCACCTATATTGTACCTGTGCATTTGGTTTTTCTTGCCTAAATGTAGAACCTTACTTTCACACTAATTCACAGTATTTCTACCAAAATCTCACCTACTGTTTCTTGTCTGCCTTTCTTTATAAAACAAAGTCCTCTATTCTCTCCCCTATTTTCCTCCAATTATCCTAAGTATTACATGCACACTCATGCACACATACAAATAAAGAATGTCCCAGGTCCTATCCAATCTTTCCCCTCATGATAAAAGAGCTTTATTTGTTTGGATAGGATATATTATTATTGCTATTGCTTTTCCTGCTGTTACTAGTTATAATAATTGGTCAGTCTAGAACCGTTATGATGCAGTTCATCTTAAATTAACACGTCTCTCAGAAAAATCCTGGAATTGTTTAAATAGAGGTTTTTTTTTAACTGCAGCCATTGTTGTTTAGGTGCTTAATCCATTTTCAAATTATGTTGCTTATTTTCTTGTCTTGTATGCTAGCTTGCATGCTAGCTAACCACATTTCCTATGGAGCTTGCTGTAGACTTTATCTTACATAGGCTGAAAATGCAGATGTTTCTCTGATGTCTGCAGTCTCCATAGTGAATTAATGTACTGTGTCTGCTTTGTGAATGCTCTCTTGTTTCTCATTTTTCCGGGCCTCAACATTTGAAGCTGACCACCCACCTTAATAAAAATATCTATTCATTTCTATTTATTATCAGCAAGGGTCCAGAGACAGGCTGCTTCAGAAGAAACTTGACATCTGGTTTGGAATAGAAAAACTCATTTGTTTTCTCTAGTTTTCAACTGTTAGTAGGTACTGCACAGTACATTATTAAATTACAATTATTGCACTGTATTCTGGCATGATAAAGTGCTCAGCAAATAGAGATGTTGAATATGAAATGCATTTTCTCCACTGTGGATGCCAAAGTAATTCTTTTTTAAACAATGAGGGTAGAGTGGTTGAAACTTCTCTTTAAACAGCTTTGTTCCTTATGCCATCTGTCTTGCAAATTCACAGGATTCTTTTTTTTTTTTTTTGCCATGTATATGTATATATTCGAACTACACTGTGATATTTCTGTCATATAGGTGTGTATGTGGGTATATGCATAATGGTATTTTTTTGAGAGCTGAATGCAATGAAATGTTGTTTTAATGTAAGCTGATTAGTGTACATTTAAAGTGAAATTTCATTTTAATGTATGCCAATTAGTGTAGATTTCAAGTCACACTAAAGTTTCTATTCTACTCTACTCTACCCTAGTCTTCTATTCTATTCTATTCTATTCTATTCTATTCTATTCTATTCTATTCTATTCTATTTTTTTTCAGAAGGGTTGCCCTGTAAACTTTCACTAAAAAAACAGCTAAGAGACTTGTAGCATAATAAAGTTTAAGAAAAGTATTATCTCATAAACATTTGAGGATGCAGTCTGTTTAATAGGGAATATACCTCTGGGAACACAGAATTATGGATATAAAATTACCTACAGGTAAGTATCTCTAAATCAGGGGTGTCAAATTCGCAACATCACGTGACATGTCGTGATGTATCATGACTTTTTTTTCATTGCCGGCAATGGGGTGGGCACGGTTTTGGCATGATGCATCCGGCCCGTGGGCTGGCAGTTTGACACCCCTGCTCTAAATCAATGTTTCTCAGCCTTGGTAACTTTAAGATGTGTGGACCATCTTCCAGAATTTCCCAGCCAATCAGTCATGCTGGCTAGGGAATTCAGGGAGTTGAAGTCCACACATCTTAAAGTTGCCATAGTTAAGAAACACTGTTCTCTAAATAAAAGAACAATTAGCTGCATAGAGGCATTTGAATTTGATGATCTGGTTAATGTGCATTGTAGTGTGATGGGAAAAGTGGGGGCTTAATCTTTTTAAAAAAGAGATAAGTCCTGAAGAGTTGTAATAGCCAGCTTTGTGTTTGTCGATACTTACAATATATTTATTTATTTATTTATGAGACTTTTTTTATTGAAAATTTTTAAGTTTGACAAAACAATTCCCTTCCTCAAACCCTCCCAACCCTCCCCTACCCTCCCCCGACCTTCCCAGAGCTGAATACAGGCTTAATTAAAAATTTTTTTAAAAAGATCTTAAAACACATATAAACCATAAGCAAATCTAAATACATTAATTAAACAGATTGTAAAATAGTTAACAACAATATATATATAAAAAAATACAAGAAGAAAGGAAAAAAGAAACAGAAAAAGAAAAAATCAAATAAATAAAAAAAATAAAAAGAAAATTAGAAAAAATGTCTATAAAATATCTTAAATTTTAAATATAAATTATTCAAAAACTAAGTAATATTTTTTTATATCCAACTTATATTGTATGAAATCTATCCATTTTTTCCATACCAGAAAATACTTCTCTTGCGATTGATCTTTCAAGAAAGCCGAAATCTTTGCCATTTCCGCCAAATAAGAAACTTTCAGAAACCACTCTTGCAAAATAGGCAAAGATTCCTTCTTCCAACATTGCCCTACTAACAACCTGGCCGCTGTAATTAAATTTAACATCAATATAGTCTCTTTACTATCACAATCAGAAAGAATACCTAACAAACAAAACTCATAAATGTTCCTCTCCTCGGAAATCTTTAGTAAAAGGCGAAAGATTTACACGATCTGAAGAGAAACCAGAGTATTTATGAGACTTATATACCGCTTTAAGTGCAATCACTCTCCAAGCGGTGTACACCAGCAAGCAATGTATACATACATTTATATTGCCCCCAACAATCTGGGTCCTCATTTTACCTACCCTGGAAGGATGGAAGGCTGAGTCAACCTTGAGCCGGTGAGATTTGAACCGCTGACCTGCTGAACACAGTCAGCTAAAGTGGCCTGCAGTACTGCACTCCAACTGCTGCGCCACCTCGGCTCATATATGTTACATTTCCTGTTGCCAGCTGTAGGAAGAACAGTGGCAACAACAGGATATGGCTGAAAGACGAAGGGATATATAGGATAGGCAAGTGTAAATTCCCCTGATATTGTTAGTGATGCTCTTAGGGTTTGGTTTCTTGCTTTAATAATATTATTGAATTGGATATGTATGCAGAGCCCTTAACACAACCACACCAATTTTCAGAACTATTGCTACAGTCATTTGCCACAATAGAGCCTAAGCAGATGTGTGTTTCTGGAAACAGATACAGCTGCTTTAATGAGTCACCAATAATTGTTATGTTCATGTCCTCCTGTATTCCAACAGAATGTTTTACAATGAAAGTTAAAGCATCACACAGCCCCGATGCATAACTATGGCTCAGTGGTCCTCACTTTTTCATCTTTCTCTTTAAAAGCAAAAGACAAATGGCAAGAAATCTTGCTTTGATCAGATCAGTTACCATAGTGCTGAGTGCCATGGAACTACAAACATAATCATAGAAGCAAAATGAGTTATTCTTTTCTCTGGAACAACTACAGTAATAATTGCACTTGGGTCTGTAAAGAAGATGAGTTGGATTTCAACCTGTTTCAATAAAGAGAATAGGAAAAATGTACATGATGTGTGTACACTTATATTCCAATGCTGCCAGGTATTATTAGGTCCCTGATATTTGTAGGAATTGGTCTGTTCTTGCAAGTCTGATCTTTTAATTTATCTGCCTTTCTTCTGGTGTTCTTAGACAAAGCTACATTATTACTGTATATTATTTCACTTATTCCTTTGATTTTAAAAATGTGACATTTTCACAGAGAGCTTTCACTAGCTTATGTAATAAACATTGCTGCCTGAGATGAAAAGGAATCAACTTCTACAGGGTATCCATTTGCTTCTTTCAGATATAATTGCTAGTCTACCGTATATCCTTTCTTTTCCTCAAATCTTGCTTCCTTTTAAAAAATATGTTGCCGTTTTTCCAAATTGCCTCTTCTCTTGTGTGCATTTCATGGTTAACTTTTTCTAATATCTCCTTTGCCTTACCATCTCCATTGTGAAAAAAAAAAGGACTGATTGGGACTGTTTATGTAAACAATGGAGCTACCATTGCAAGAAAAATAGCAGAGAGTAGGTTTCTGCCTTCTCTAGCTGATAGAACTAAAATAAATAAATGCAGCCCCCCCAAAAAAATTGCTCTTGGTGATTGCTTTTTGCAGATGCATACAAGATGCAAAGAATTGATTTTCCAAAAGGGCCTGCGCATTAAAAATCTATTTGATAGGGCAATGCAGTGTTTTGAACTCGAAGGCAAAAAAAAAAAAATCAATTTTGGGGGCAAGGGGGCAAGTGTATCTCCATTCCTGCAGTTTCTTAAAGCCATGACTTTTTCCTGGATTGTGTAGCAGTTGTGCAATTGTGGGAAAATGTTTCCTGGTAGGAATTTTCAAATTGTTGGAGAGGATTCCAGGAGTAACTAAAGACAAAATAAAGTTCACTTGAATACAGCCAAGAATTATTTATACAATCCTTGATTGTATAAACAGAGGCATAGAATCAAAATCACGTGAAGTGTTAGTACCACTTTACAAATCCTTAGTAAGGCCACACCTGGAATACTGCATTCAGTTTTGATCACTACATTACAAAAAAGATATTGAGACTTTGGAAAAAGGGCAGAGAAGAGCAACTAGGATGATTAAAGGCCTGGATACAAAAACATATGAAGAACGGTTGCAGGATTTGGGTAGGGCTAGTCTAGAGACAAAAAGGACTAGGGGTGTCGTGATAGCAGTATTCTGGTATTTGAGGGGCTGCCACAAGAGGGGTCAACTTATTTTCCAAAGCATCAGAATGCAAGACAAAAACAATGGATGGAAACTAATCAAGGAGAGAAGTAACTTAGAATTAAGGAGAAATTTTCTGACAGAACAATCAACCAATGAAACTACTTGTCTTCAGACATTGTGGGTGCTTTGTCACTGGAGATTTTTAAAAAGAGACTGGACAGCCACTTGTCTGAAATGGTATAGGGTCTCCTACTTGAACAGGGGTGGACTACAAGACCTCCAAGGTCCCTTCCAGCTTCTACTCTGCTCTGTTCTGCTCTGCTCTGCTCTATCAATAATGCTTTGCCTCTTGACCAGGAATTCCAAGAATTTAATGTCTTTTAAATAATTGTCTAGCCTGGAAAAGTTTTAAAGATGCTTTAAGGAATTGCAGCTGGATTTTGTGTTGTCAATGTGGCTCTTGCCTGTAAATCCAAAAAGCTGCACTTCCCTGTTATTTAGCTTATTGAAAATGTAGCATAGAGGAAATGCAGCAAGGTAGAGCCCAGCAATTTTTATTCACTATCCTAAGATTGCAAGGAATGAAGGTCATGTGGTTTTAGGGTGCAAAATGTTCTTGAAAGGAAAAAAAGGCATTTTTATCTTCAGCATTTCTCCAGGAACCTTAATAAAGGGCATTTCCTTAAATTCTGTATGAAAGCAGTTCTCAATATTTGTCTTCCCAGGGTGCCATGTGATCTATCATGACATGGTTGAAACACTGTAAAACCAGGATAGTTGTTGATGATGGTGTTGATGTTATTATTACTTTGACATGTGTGGCTATGCTTTCCTATTGGACAGAACTCTTCCATTATCCCTCCTCCTTGCTTCTGAGCCGTAAGTCCTGTAAGGGAAATGCCAAGCTTGTCAGCTTTTTCTTTTAAAAGTCTAGACAAAATGAAGTAAAAATTTCAAAAAATTGTCATTTTTCTCCTGTTCAACCCCCAAGACAAATGGATTTACAGAAGCACAAATTACTTTTCTCTTTTTTCCCCTTTGTTGTAGTGTGAGGGGTGAGGGAAATGTTGTTGTTCTTGCAGGACCTTGAAGTGAACCCTGATTTTCATTCCTTGGTCTCAGCATTTCAAGTTGTGACAACCATGAATCACTCTCAAAGTGCTTCTTAGGTTTTGGAGAGCAAAACCATTGGCAGCCCGGAAGAGCCAAAGACAGTCTTCTCCTCCCTTTTCTTCTTGTTTTTATTATTTTTGCTCCGTAAATTAAGATGAAAAATGCTTCACAGTTACCTACCCATACAGTGTCTTTTGTATGCCGAATTTGTAATCTGCTAGGCTGCAGACTTTTTCTTTTTGTTGATTTTTATACTTGATACAGAATCCACCCTCGTTTTTGCAAGTCAGAAATATTATTGCATTTTTGTATGTCACTTGTACCCTGTTATCTGTTCCACCAGCTGCAGCTAGCTACCGTTCATATTTTGGAAGCTGTTCTTTTATTACCCAGCTGTTTAAAATTGCTAAATATTCAATATCCCCTTCACCCTGACAGGTGGTAAAAGGAATGAGTGAAAATAGCAGTGCTTTATGTATCTTAATTATTCAGTTAGAATATTTAAGCCATCTCTTCTTAATAGCATAAATGCAAAATAAGAAAGGTACATAAAATATTAGGATCTGAATCCCAGACTGAATTTTTCATTGGCTTAAAGAAGAGATTTACTGGGGAAAGGAAATGTTTTTTCTTATGTCAGCAACTGTGTACATTTGAAATTATGGGGGTTGGTGCATATTTTGGACATTCTCAGATGATACATTTTTCTTAGGCAGATATGTATACCTTCAATGAAAGAATGAACTGCAAGTATGGATCATTTTCATTTCCCTGTATATATCATTGCAATCATTGGGACATTATTTTTGGTATTTGGAATCAGAGGGCCCAATATGAATCAATGCTTTTTCCAGTATTATTTATCACAGTGACACATCCCAAGAAAATACATAGAGAAGTTTGTATCTGTAAGGAAAGAGTGGTTTCATGGGATACATGTGTACAAATGGCATGAGGAAGAAGACAAATTTCTATCTCCTAGAACAGTGGTTCCCAACCTTTTCTATACACTGCACCCCTAGAATGCTTCTGATATATTCTTGCACCCCTTACAAAAGTTCAAAATAATGGCAACAAATTATGCATATGCACTATAATTTTGAAACTTCTAAACCTAAGTTTTCGCACCCCCTGGAATATTGTCTCACATCCCTGGTTGGGAACCCCTGTCCTAGAAAGATACAAAATTATTTGAATTGAAATCACACAGCTGCATGTTATTGATTATGTTCCAGCAAGTCATTGTTGACTTGAAATAGTTCTTACACTTACCCAAAAAATAATTACAAAATTTGCTGATTAAATGATTCTGTGCCATCAAGTTGTTGGTATCAACTCTTAACAACCACATAGATAGATTTCCTCCATTATAATCTGTTCCTAACTTTCAAGTCTTCCAATGGTACACCTATTGCAAATGCAATGGAATCCATTCACCTTGTTGCTGGATTCGTCTTCTTCTCTTTCCTTCCATTTATTCCAGTATTAGATTCTTCTTCACAGACCTACAGTATATCTTTCCATAATGTATCCAAACTTGAGCCTGGTCATTTGTGCTTTGAACGAGAACTCTGGATTGATTTGTTAAATGATCCACTTGTTTGTTTGCTTGGTTGTCCATGGTATTCCCAGGAGTTTTCTCCAATGCCAAAGTTAATTTATCTATCCAATAATATCCATGAAAAAAAACTGATAAAAGACTCTCCTTCCATCTACTCTACTTGAATCCTAGACTTTCCATAAAGCTGAACATTTGAAAAGTTCAATTTGTGAGAATCTTCATAACATATTCTTATTATGTCAACATATTCTTGACTTTTACAATGGACCTTTATTTTGTATATATGTATTTTATACA